GAGACAGGGTCTCGCTATACAGATCAGGCTGGCCTTGAGCTCACTTTGTAGCCCAGGCTGGTCTCAAACTCACAATGATCCTCCTGCCTCAACCTCCTGAGTGCTGAGATTACAGGCGTGCACCACTATGCCCGGCAGAAAAGTAACTATGATTTTTTTTTTTTTTTTTTTGTATTGGAAATTGAACTCAGGACCTTGCACTTGCCAAGCAGGCGCTGTGCCACTGAACTATATTCCCAGGCCCTCACATAGCCTGCTTTTAACACACAAATAATCTTCTTACATTTCCCAATTGTATAAAAAAGAGGTATCCTGAGCCTTCAGAAAAGAATACTTCTTTGAAATGTGTGCATTCAGACAAATATAACCAAACACTTTTCCTAACACTGTCCATGCACACATGCACGTTTTTCCAAGTTCACAACACAGACTCAAACACACACGCATATCCCAGCATCTATGGGAGAGGACCATAAGTGAAATATTCCAAAGCCCCAATTACAAACACTTAACACCAACTGCCGGAGTAGGCATGCATAATACAACACCCTCCAAATACAACCAACCTTACACAGTTGCACAGAAAGTCATGACTTTCCCTTTATCCCAAACATCCACCCAGACATCATCACCCACACAGGGGTATACACATCAATTCTCACCAGTCAACTTTAGACACAGGAAATCCCAAACTATGAATTCATAGGACCATTTCCAACACACTCCAAGAGACACCTACCGCCAATCACTCATGCCCTGTGAATTCCTACAGTCCCCATGGGCCCATCACATTTTCAGAAACCACCACCCACACATCATGACTCCCAAAATCAAAACTAAAACTTCCCCCCATCCTCAAGTACACACAAGGTCTCCCCGGCAGACCACCACACGCACACACAACACAATCAAGAGCGTGTAATAAAGTTTCCAGACATACTGATGCGTGGAACACAACTTAATTACTAACACAATAGACAACTTTATTGCAAATTGCTCTCAGTCAACTGATTCTCACACAATGCTCTAGTTGACTTCCGCAGCCTCCTGCAGCCACAGGAACCTAGGCTTGCAGC